CTCAGCTTGGATGTTATTGGTGTATGGAAATGATACTGATCTTTGTACATTGTTTTTTTGCTCTGAAACTTTACTGAAGTCATTTATCAGTTCCAGAAGGCTTTTGGTGGGGTCTTTAGGGTTTTCTAGATATAGATTTATATTGCCAATGAAGAGAGATAGTGTGCATTCTTCTTTTCCTATTTGGATGCCTTCCATTTCTTTCTCTTCCCTGATTGTTCTGGCTAGAATTCCCAGTGCTACGCTGAACAGGAGTGGTGGGAGTGGGCATCCTTGTCTTGTTCCAGTTCTCAAGTTCTCCAGTATTCAATGCCTAGTTTCTTGAGGGTTTCTATTATAAAGAGATGTTGGATTTTATTGAAAGCTTGTTCCATGTCTATTGAGATGCTCATGTGGATTTTGTTTTTAATTTTGATTATGTGGTGAGTCACATTTATTGATTTCCATATGTTGAATCAACCTCACATCCCAAGAATGAAACCTACTTGATTGTGGTAAATTACCTTTTGATGTGCTGCTGGATTCAGTTTGCTAGTAATTTGCTGATTATGTTAGCATCTAGGTTTATCAGGGATATTGGCCTGTAATTTTTCTTTTTCACTTATCTCTTGCCAGATTTTTATATCAGTGTGATGTTGGCTTCATATAGTGAGTTAAAGAGAAGTCCTTCTTCCTGGATTTTTTTGAATAGATTCAATAGGATTGGTACCAGCTTTTCTCTGTACATCTGTTAGGATTCTACCATAAATCCATCTGGTCAGGAGTTTTTCTCATTGGCAGTTTTATTAATGATTGAATTTTGAGAGATCTTTTTGATGTGCTACTGGATTCATTTCATTTCTATTTCTGCTGGTATTGATTTTTTTTTTTTTTTTTTTTTTTTTTGGAGACAGAGTCTCACTTTGTTGGCCAGGCTGGAATGCAGTGGCACGATCTTGGCTCACTGCAAACTTGGCCTCCCAGGCTCAAGCAATTCCCTGTCTCAGGCTCCCAAGTAGTTGGGATTACAGGCGACCATCATCACACCTGGTGAATTTTTGTATTTTTAGTTTGAAACGGGGTTTCACCATCAAGACCACCAGGTCTTGAACTCCTGACCTCGTGATCCACCTGCCTTGGCCTCCCAAAGTGCTAGAATTACAGGCATGGGCCACTGCACCTGTATTTGATTACTATTTTTATTCTACTGTACTCTGAGAGTATGGTTGGTTTGATTTTAATTTTTTAAAGTTAATTGAGACTTGCCTCATGGCCAAGCATGTGATAATTATTGGAGTGTGTTCTTTGTGCAGATGAGAAAACTGTATATTCTATGGCTATGGGTGGAGTATTCTGTAGATTTCTGTTAGGAACAATTGGTCAAGTGTTGAATTTAAGTCCAGAATTTCTTTGTTAATTTTCTGCCTCAATGATCTGTCTAACACTGTCAGTGGAATGTTAAACTTCTCCACCACTATTGTGAGCTGTCTAATTCTATTTGTATGTCTAGAAATACTTGTTTCATGAATCTGGATACTCCAAGGTTGGGTGCACATATATTTATGTAGTTAAGTCTTCTTGTTGAATGGAATCCTTTATCATTATGTAATGCCCTTCTTTGTCTTTTACTGTTGATAATTTAAAATCTGTTTTGTCAGAAACAAATATAACAACCCTTGCTCTTTTTGGTTTTCTGTTGCATGATGGGTCTTTCTCCACTGCTGTACTTTGAGCCTATGGGTGTCATGATGTGTGAAATGGGTCTCTTGAAGACAGCAAAACAATGAGTCTTGGTTTTTTATTTGCCTTCCACTGTTTGCCTTTAAGTGGTGCATTTAGACCATTCATATTCAAGGTTAATATTGATATGTGAAACTTCGAACCTATCATAAAGTTGTTAGCTGGTTGCTTTTAGGTTTCTATTGTGCAGTTGATTTACAGGTTTGTGGGCCCCATTCTTAAGTCAGTTATTGTGGTAGCAGATATTGTCCTTTCACTTCTGTATTTAGAACTCCCTTCAGGATCTCTTGTAAGGCTGGTCCGGTGGCTAAAAATTTTCTTCGAAATTGCTTGTCTGGAAAAAATGTTATTTTGTCTTCACCTATGGAGCTTAGTTCAGCAGGCTATGAAATTCTTGGTTGGAATTTCTTTTCTTTAAGAATGCTGAAAATAGGCCTCCAATCTCTACTGGCTTGTTAGGTTAGTTCTTTAGCAATGACTTGGACAGTCCAATGACTATATTCTTGGTGATGTTCATTTTACATAGTGTCTCACAGGTGTTCTCTGGGTTTCTTGTATCTGAATGTCTGCCTCTCTAGTGAGGTTAGGGAAATTTTCTTAAATTATTCCCTCAAATATGTTTTCCAGGTTGCTTGTCTCTTTCTGTGTTAAGAATGCCAGTAATTCATCAGTTGAGCCACTTTATATAATCTCATATTTTTGAAGACTTTTTCACTTTTATAAATTATTTTTTCTTTATTTTTCTCTGACTGGGTTAAGTCAAAGACCAGTCTTTAAGCTCTAAAATTATTTCTTCCACTTGGTCAAGTCTATTGATAAAGCTTTCAATTATATTGCAAAATTTCTTAAGTAATATTTTCAAGTCCAGAATCTCTGATAGATTTCTTCTTAACATGTTTATCTCTCTTCCTTCACTTCCTGGATTTCTTTAGAAGTTTCTTGTGTGAATTTTCAACACTGTTTGGCTCTTATTGAGCCTCCTTTTGATCCATGCTTTGAACTCTTTATCTATCATTTCTGAGTTTTTATTTTTGTTAGGGACCATTGCTAGAGAGCTAGTGTGATTCTTTGGTGGTGTCACAACATTGAGATTTTTCATGGTGTCAGAACTCTTGCACTGTTTCCTTCTCATCTGAGGCACTGGCACTTCTAATTTTTGTAAATATTTTCATGCAGGTGGGATTCTTTTTCTTTTTCTTTTTCTTTATTTCCAGGATGGCAGGCACAAGTGCCAGTACCACAAGAGCATACAATGACTGGCCACCACATGCCCAGAGGTACTCCTAATCTAGGAGTGTGGGTGATACAGTGCCTGGAGATCTTTCTGAGCATGGAGTATAGAGGGACCTACTGCACCACTATCACTGCACAGGAATGGTGAGGTGGCTCATGTTAATCCAGCTGAATGGGTACTCCAAATGCCTGGGGATATTCCTTGGTGTGAAACAAGGAGGTCCTCTTGCATCAAGATCTCTGCACAAGAAGGGTGGAGTGGTTCAGGCTGCAGATTTGGGTGAGGAGGTGCACTGAATCCCTGAAGATCTACCTTAATGTGAAGCATAAAGGGACCTGCTGCACCATGATCTATGCACAAGAAGGATGGGTCAGCTCAGGCTGCTGATCCAGATGAGTGGATGATCCAAATGCCTGTAGATATGTTTGAGTGTGAAGTGAAGAGTGCGCCCCTGAACCAGGAACTCCACACAGAAAGGGTGGAGTGGCTCAGGCTGTTGGTCCAAGCAAGTCAATGCTTTGAATGCCTGGAGTTCTGCCTGCTAGTGAAGCAGAGAGTGCCCCACTGGACTGGCTGCTGAGACACAATGGAGGGTTCTAAACCTTAGACTAGGGAATCAAGAAAGGCTTCCCAGAAAAGATGGCTGAACTGAAAGTTGGTTAAAAACAATGTTAGCCATGTGAATAATTGAATTACAGTGTTGGGTGTGTTCAGAAAGAATGTCCTGGTTGTAAATGGAAAAAATAAAAACGCATACATCAGTTGTATATTTCTGAAGTGAGTTAGATAGGTTTGAAAGTTGTGCTATTGCTAATGTGGCTGGATGCTACTGCCTTCTATGGAAAACAGCTATTACTCTTCCTTCTCTAACACTCTTACCCTCAACCTCTCTGCATTCCCTGTAGAGTCTCCAAAGGACCCTTGAGAGTGAATTCCTGGGACACAGGGAAGATGACTATTTAATTTTATATGACAAAATCTAATATTTTCCAAAATGAGACTTTTACACTCCCTCTAGCAATGTATAAGAGATCCAGATTTGGGGTTGTCATTCTTTTTAATTTTATCCATTCAAGTGTATGTTTAAGTAGTATCTCACCATGAACTTAATTTGTATTTCCCTAGTAACAAATGATGCTGATCAACTTTTCATGTATTTCTTGGCATTTCATATATTTTCTAATATTAAGTGTCTATTTAAGTATTTTGGCCAGTTTTAGTAAATTATTTTATTTTGATTATTGATTTGAAGGAGTTATTTATAAAATTTAATTTCTTTGTCGCAGGACTGATCTTTTTTCAGTCCGTGGTTTTCCTTTTTATTTACTTAATGCTTTAATAAGCAAGAGTTTTTAATATTGAAGAAGTTAAATTATCAACTATTTTCCTTTTATAATCAGTGCTTTTTAGTGCCCTCCCTAAAATATCTTTACCTACCAAAATAATACAAAGATTTTCTCTTATGTTATTCTAGAAACTATACTTTTAGCTTTATTCGTCTTATGATACATCTATAATTACTATATATTATATTGATGCTGTGGCTAACTGCCATGCACCAGGAAGAACTTCAGAAGTTCCACTGGTTGGTTAATTCCTTTCTCTATGTAGAGTTAAACATCAGCAACACAAATTCCAGATACATTAAAATTGATAGGAATATATTAAATATGGCCCATATTATGGAGAACTTTTAACTGCCTCAGGATATTAAAGCAGCATTTACCATGGTGGTTCTCCCAACTGTGGAGGAAAGGTTAAATATTAAATTTGAACTCAATTGAACAAGGACACAAACAATGGTCACCAAGTTCTGAACGGGTGGCATGAGCCCCTTGAGGCATTTATCCAGCACTGTTTCGGAGAAATCTCTATTTCAATCTATTCCTATATGTTAGTTATTCAAAAACAACAGACAGTCACAAAAACAAGTTGGCCTGTTTGTGTTCCTTGAGCCCAGTTGTGAAGGGCCCTCGTGACTGGGCCTCATGCCAAGCAACTCATTACAAAAAGAGCCAGAGTCCCAGACCACTCTGAAGCTTTATGAGACCTCTCCTCATCTGTGCACGGATGAGCGTCAGACTCTGGAGCCCAGGCTGCTGCTTCCTAGTCAGGTGATGAATCCTTCATAGTCTGATGAAGATCTATATAGTCTGATGAAGATATGTATGTATATCTACATCTCTTCCCTTCTCCCCTTCCCATTGCAATTTGCTTATTATATCAATTTGCTCATTATATAATTTGCTTATTATATGTGTATTGCCATTTATGAGGGATAAAAGTTGTTTACCCTTAAAGGTATTATGTGTGTGTCTTTTCTTCTCCCCTTGCACATCTCCCACACAGAATGCCAACAAAAAGCTTTAATGAAGGTTAATAACTGGTCAATAGGTAAAGTCTATTTTTTAGACTAAAATGAAGCTCTGCATAATTGATTTTATAAAATGCATTGATTTAAAACAAACTCATTAACAAATTTGAAGAGATATAATTATTTTGAGAAAAGAGTCCCTTCAACTCAGCTCTATGGAGATCCACATGACCCTCTTTTGGGCAGAGTATAAGACAAGCTCATAATTCTTCAAATTATCTTATTTTATTTTTGCTTCCTGTCTGTTTAGTAACTAAAGTAACAGATATTAACTATAATTTAGAAAATAATCAGAAAATCTTAACATTCATTCACTTGTCAAGAGGCCTATGTTACATAATGTATCCTACAAGTCATCCTCTTATCTCTGGGCAATATACAACTCTGAAATTCATAATGTGATTAGCAGGCAGACATGGTAGATGAGAGTGACGGGCATGTTGGGCGCATGAAGGCATTACCATTCACTGTCATCTGCCATGATTTTATAGCAGGTAATATACACATCCGTAACATTTCTCCAGTAGAAAGGAAGCTGGTGAAAGTAAGTCATCACTGGATTTATTAGAACGTTGATAATTCAAAGTCTTCTTATGTAAAATGAAATAAAATAAAAATAGAAGTTCAAAAGTGACACTGAAGGTGGCAGAGATTCTAAAGTGATAAGACTTAAAAATTGCATCCAGGTGAGTCTTCAGGGGCTGACAGTAGATTAGTATAAAACAGTTCATGTCTCAAGGTACCTAACAGCATGAAACTCAAACCCTAGGATAAAGAAAGGAGGAACGGAGCCAACAAGTACTGACATCAGACACCTGGTATCACCTAGTGTTTTGTGGTATATAACACATCTAATTTTCGTGACAAACCATTCATTAGGCAGACACCATCCATATTTCGCAAGTGCAGAAACAGAGACCCAGAGATTAATTAATTTACCAAAAGTCACATATATACCAGGAATTAGAGGCCGAATTTGAGTCTAAGCCAGTGCAAATTAAACTTTAAGAAATGTTTAAGGGTGACAGTAGAGATCCTTCAGCTTCTGAGAATAACATTCAGATGAAGAGGGTCTTTCAATACATGAGAAGCTGCTACCCCAGTGACGAATCTCAGCTGAAGTTATATGTAGTCATAACATACCCAGTCAAGGACCAGTAGACTAATATCTCTTAAGCAGATGACGCTGATGTCAACTCTTTCTGTGGAGCTGACAGATTGCAGAGGTCAGAAAGCCAAACTCACTGAGAATAAGAGCTTTCACCCAGATCATATTTAGGAACCAGTATTTTGCTTTCAACTACTGGTATGGCCTAGAGCATAAATCGTATCTGTTTGCATTTTGATCATCAGAAAGATGTATACTTAGACTAGAAGAGATAAACTTCATTATAGCTTACATATCTTCATGGTATTTATGCTTCATTGTAGTCATTTCAGATTGTAGAGAGTCTGTTTTGGAAATGTCTCTCTGCTTTCAAACTAGAATTTATGTAGTGGGCACTGCCCATATAACAGAGAACACCTCTCCAAAGTCACCAGTGCATTCAGTGTCAGTGACTTTTCAGCTGAGCCAAGAAATGTTCTGTGAGAAGAAACAAAAGAATTAGAATCCTTTGAGCTGACATCTATTTCCTCTCTGCCTGTGCTGCTGAATGAACCACAGGGCAGAAGGCAGTGCTTGGCATAAACTAAATCATTCCAGGAAACTATTTCATTTGCCTTTATCTTCTTCCTAATTGGTTTTTTATTTGCTTTTAAATTTTAATTGTTCTGATTTATGTGTGTTTCACTTTATAATGTTCTTCAAATTCTTTGAGGAATAGGCTATAAAATATCAATTCTTTAGAAATATATTGTCCTATAATACATACCTATGATAATACTCAAAGGCTGGTAGAAGGGTAATTATAGAACCACCTTTCTCTGTAAATGCCCAACTAACCTGTAAAATGATAAAATGCATACGCTCCGCTTCATTAGTCCAATCTTGGTTATCAGGAGTAAGATGGGAAAGAAAATGTATTCTTGCTACTACCATAGAAAGCATTTGATAAAATACTTGACAAAACTCAAATCTGCTTTGCAGGTTCTTCTTCCTTTACTATGACTACATGGGCATAAAGTGAAATTTGATTTAATTTTGTGCAAAATCAATAGACAATAGCTCCCAAATGTATGTGAAATTCTTATTGATTGTTCTGAAGATCAAATATTATCATGTTTAAAGTCATCATATCAGAATTGAAATATTTGTTTTCAGAGTAATTTAAAATATTATTTGGTGTAATAAAACTTCAACATACATTTGTTTAATTTACTTTCAATTAAACCATTATAAAATTTAATTTTATCAGAGCTATTGGATTATGTTACAGTTGAATAAATTGAAAGACTTATGTTACCTTTTTATTTAAAATCAGGAGAAAATTGATCTAAGTGAATTTCTGCATTGCTTTATGTTGTTATTGAATATATGAGAAAATTACTCTGGCATGAAGAAATATAAAAGCTTCTTCACAGAAATACAAAATTAATCTTTCTTTGAATCAATTCATCCATGTTATCCATTACTAGATTGGTGCTCTTCTTGTTTGAAATTTAGTCAACCATGATTTGCTATTGACTAATAAGGTTCTAGGAGCATTTTTCTATGCAAATTATTCAGTAGACTGTTTTTTTTTTTGAGATGGAGTTTCGTTTTTGTTGCCCCAGGTGGAGTGCAATGGCATGATCTCGGCTCACCGCAACCTCCGCCTCCTGGGTTCAAGCGATTCTTCTGCCTCAGCCTCTCAAGTAGCTGGAATTACAGTATGCGCCGCCACACCTGGCTAATTTTGTATTTTTAGTAGACACGGGGGTTCTCCATGTTGGTCAGGCTGGTCTTGAACTCCCAACCTCAGGTGCTCCGCCCACCTCAGCCTCCCAAAATGCTGGGATTACAGGCGTGAGCCACTGTGCCTGGCCGCTTCAGTAGACTTTATAGATATCAGGACAGTGACTTTTGACTGAGATTATGGCAGACGGAGGGTGGAAGGGGTCCACAGAACAGTGACTTTTCTTTGTACAATCCAAGCTGAATCATGGGCTTAGTGGTACTTCTCACAGTCTTGAATTCAACAGACTTACTGGCACCTCTTGAATGCCCGACATTATGCTTGGCACCAGACATTCAAGGATGAAGATGTTTAGTTTCCCTTCTCAGAGAGCTTACACCATTAGGAAGAATAAGGGCATATGAATGAATAATCACATACAAAATGGCATATTCTATCATGGGGGTATGAGTAAATTATAATTGAAGAAAAGAGAAGGTTCATGGAAATAAAAATAAAAATGTTAGAAAAGTCTTCTCAGATAACTACTTCAGCTGTAACTTAAAGAAAAAGTAAAATTTACTCTGGCTGATAAAGGCGCATTACACAGGACTTGAAGGAAGTGAAAATGGTTATGTTCAGGAAAGTCTGCACAGTTCAACGCTTTTGGAGAAGTTTATTCTTGTGGGAGAACTGCATGTCCAAATACTTACGAAAGAGTCAGGGAGCAGATAAGGAACTGCCTTGTCAACCATCCTAATAACCTTCCACCTTCTTCTTAGTTCAAAAGAACTACTGAAGTCTTAAAAGCTGGGGAAACAGCATTAGTGGATAGTTCTAGCTGGAAAGCAGAAAACAGGCAAAAGTCACCAACACTTGAAAGTCAATGATGACCACAATCTGGACAAGAGATAATGAGAGATTTAAAATAATAGAAATCAAAAGGGAAAATATGCAGTATTTCAATTGTGTCATTATTCTTACAACATTTTAACAAATGGCTTTTTCCGAAGTGCATTTTGTTTTTCTAAAACTGAAGTGACATTTATTTCATTATTGCATATTCATAAATCCAGTGATTCATGCTAGATGATATGAAGTATCCACATTTAACATAACTTTGGAAGATCTCTATAGGTTCATAACCAAAAAGTATCTGAGACAGGTCTCAATCAATTTAGAAGTATATTTTGCCGAGGTTAAAGACAATGCCTGGGAGAAAAAACGGGAATCACAGAAATAGTTTATGGTCTGTGTTTTTCTCCAAAGATGATTTTGAGGGCTTCAGTATTAAAGTGGAAAAAGAGGCTGGAGGGGAGAGAAGGAGGATAGGATCACATTACTAAATCCACATGTTGCAAGAGAAAAGGAGCAGATAGGGGAGTAGTCAATGATGTATTTGTCTCATACCAAATAAACTGGCTCTTTACATAAGATGAGGTGAACACAGAGTATCTACCTGTGGAGATCTACCTTTTATCTGCAGCTTTCTGCTTAGGAACAAAAGGAATGGCACGTCCTTGCATGACTCAGTTTTGAGCTTAATTTTTTCCTTTCGCAGAGTGAATTGGGGTCCCAGGTTTTAATTTTCTCTTCACAGGTTCATAAAGTTTGTTGACACTGTGCACGAAAGACATTGATTTATTTTATCACATCCTTAATAAAGCTACCTTGAAAGACAACATAATTCAGAGGCTATTTAGCAGGGTCATCAGAAGGCTTCAGTGAGTCATTCAAGCATAAAATTAGTTTCATATGAGGAAAATCTGTTATGGTGAGAGGCTTAGAAAACAGTTGTATTCTGGAAGCATCCTGGAAAGAAATAGATGGCACGTTGAAAGGATTGGCTGAAAAAATTGAATGAAATGACTATTTGCACTGGTGGGGGTGTGGCAAGGAGAATCAAGGATGAAAGAAGGTCCCAGGAACTAGAAACCTTTACACTCCAGACCTGAGGAGTCAAGATGGGGGAGGGGTGTTCCCGGAGCTGGCTAGAGCCATAGCTCTGGAAGGAAGCTTCCAGAGGTCCCAGCAAGAAAAAGGGCTGTGTTGGGGGCTGGGCACTGTGGCTCAGGCCTGTAATGTCAGCACTCTGGGAGGCCAAGGCGGGCGAATCACTTGAGGTTAGGAATTTTGAGACTGGATTTCACTGGATGAAACCCTGTCTCTACTAAAAATACAAAAACTAGCCGGGCGTGGTGGTGGGCGCCTGTAATCCCAGGGTTGAGACAGAGGAATGGCTGGAACCCGGGAGGCTGAGATTGCATCACTGCACTCCAACCTGGGCGACAGAGCAAGACTCCGTCTCAAAAAAAAACAAAAACAAAAACAAAAACAACAAAAAAAAACAAAAAAAAAACCAACAGAAAGCAAAAAACAAACCAACAACAACAAAAAAGGGCGGAGAGGGTGGCAGTGCGTAGGGAGAGAGATGAAGCTCCTGCCAGATCCATTTAAGTAAAGGAGAAAATGGGGACTGGAAACCATAACCCTCTCTCTTTTCACACTACATCCTGCTGGGATTTCCATTGTGCGAAACAAACTACAGGAAGGAAAGAGGGCAACAGTTAAAAGGAACCACCATCCAGGACGCAGAATGCAGAGGACAGGCAAAAACAGATGGAGTCAGGGGCGGGATGGTGGGCAGCAGATTAAACAGCTGGAGAAGGTGGCCATTGCCACTTTTCAAATAGTCTGCTTGGTAGCTGAAGAGGCTGCTGCTCAGTTTAGCATTTTTTAAAGGGATGTGTCTTTGCACATTTAGTTTGCTTTGCCGGGTTTATAGGTGCACTCCAGTCTTGGTTTCTACATGCCTACTTGGGTTTGAATTCCGTGTAAAAGCTCCCTTGGAACACATTTCCCGCCAGTTAGGACTAACTTGCTATCCTCTGTGCTTGGTTTATATGTTTAATTATGCTGTTTAATGTAGTGAATTATGCTTTTGACATTTCTTTACAGAGGCCTTTGTGACTAAATAAAATAAACAAGAAAAATGAGTAGAGGCCTTGGTAAATTATCCTAAGAAAGATAAACTTCAAAATTGAATTTCCTAGGGCTAAAGAATGTGGGCATTAGGAAATGATCAAGGGATTTTTCAAATTTATTCAGTGTTTTTTTTGTTTGTTTGTTTTTGTTTTTTACTATTTTGCCTTCCTTCCACCCTCGTCAGTTAGTCAATTCTCGATGCACAGCGAACATAAATGCAACCTTTTCTTTTAGGCTAACTAAAAGAGTGTCTGTACCAAGAGGTTGGAGGAAGCAGGCATCTAAAAACAGTGATTTTTATATGAATTGCTAGTTGAAATAACAACACTTCGGTGCAACAGGATTTCTGCTTAATAGGTTTCTAGTGCATTAACTCAGCCAGTTTTGTGGAATTATAGACTTTTTTTCAAAACAAGTAAGCTACTTATTATTCATAATCTTCAGAGCAGTAGCTTAATGTTAAATAGCCCTTAAAACACACTCAATAAAATAGTAATGTGTATTCGCTCACTTTATTCAGAGACCTCAGAAGCTCCTCTCCAAGGCCCTCCTCAGACACTCAGACCTTACTCTCTTATTTCTGCAACACAGATATTTAATCGAGTGCAAAGGCATGTTGCTCAACCTCATAGAATTGAGAGTCATAAACAATGAATAATGCAGCATTGAAAAAGCCAAACAAATCACTCTAAGATTTATAACCCTGGTGCTTTGTGAGGAAACATAGAAAACAAAGAACTTTTGGTTAAGTGCTTGGTTCTGCTTCCTCAAACATCAACATTGCAATCACAAAGACAGAGCAACCTCCAGAAATTAGGCTTCTAGGGAATTGGGGTCCTGGGCATTTTGCGCTGTAACATGGGGATAGTCACATGTCACTTAACTTAGAGCATTATTTTGAGAGTAGAAATGGTTAATAAATGTGAAAGTAATGTGTAAATTGTGATGACTTTATAAAGATTACTTATTACACTAGGCATACTAATATATCACTAAAACATCTCAACATTTAGTTTATTAATCATAGACATGTGTTGGTATAGGGAAAAAAGGATCATTTACTTTTGAACATTTAGTGATTAAAAGAAACAATACTAGGTCCAGTTAATGCTGTGAATTGTCATCGTAATCAGCTCCATTGCTGATTTCCTGTAGTTCAGACACACAATTCGGATATGGCATTCAATTCCTCAAATGTTAGTCAGTGTGCCAGGCAATGTTCTAAGACTTAGAAGCAGAAAGCTAGGTAAGTCTGATTGTCTTTACCCTATTGATTTTATCTTCTACTTAATTAAACAAAACAAAACTGTGAAGACTTGTAAAATGTCTCCTGTTTGTTTGTTTTCCTTTTCTTTTTGTAGAATGAATTGGAAATCCTTTCTTGAATCCTTCTCTTCTCCTTTCTAATCATAGCTGCCTGAATTTAGATCACCATGATACCTTGTCTTGACTATGTTTAAACTTTGACTGTTTCACCTTCTCCATTTCATTCCCTGAAACCCATTTCTTCTTAAAGTAATCACAGATGTTGGATGAACAATCTAAAAGGGTTCAAGTTCCATAACATGACACCACTTTCTAGTTGCTCCAAAATCGGGCTTCCACCTCCCTTTCAAATCTCAGCTCTTGACACTTCTGGCTTGTGCTTTAGTGCCCATTAATATCAAATGGTGGAGTACCCAAAGTATTAAAATATTTGCTAACAGTAAATCCATTTCCACTACCCGTGTGGTAACTGCTACTCATCTTCTTAATGGCACTGGTTTTCTCATTTCTTCACCTGCACAAACTGGGTTATGTAGTTTGTGTCTGTGTCATATTCTACTTTGTCTCTGTCATTACTCTTATTACAGTGAAATGAAATGATCTTTTAATGAAACTCTTTCTTTCAGCATACTAAGATCCATTCCAGTCATGGGTTGTCTGACACATCCTTTTATCCCCAGCTCCAAATAACAGTATAGTACACACATAGTAAACACTTCACTCTGAAATGAAATACAGTCTCCTTTATCCTAATTTTTTAAATATATAAGAAGTATTTAGGAATACATAAGTGACTTAAATTGCATCCTGTAGGATATTTACACAGTGGGAGAGTCTACGTTGCCATGCGGATTCTCCCGTTTCACCCCTATTAAGTTCACTTTGAACACTGGATATGTAAATATACTGCCGCCACTTCCATAAATGCAGAGCTGGAAATTTTCCAAACCACTGTGCACCTACTGAGAAATTCTCCATTGAACATAATTCTAGATCATCCACTGATACATGGGCTTAAGTTACAGAGCTGATTATGATGCAAAATGCATTCTACATGAATTGGATCTGTCTTTATTTCTTTTAGTCATTAAATGTTCAAAAGTAGATGATAAATTTTCTCTACTTCAATATATGTCCCTGACACAAAGAGCGTGAAAAGGGAATTAAAGTTTTATAAGAACTCGAATATGCACTGTACATATTTCCCTGTCAGACAAGCTGTTTTTAGTAATGACTTGTGGGAGATTCAGTTTCAATTAGACTAAATTTAAATAAATTCAATCCAATCCCCACTTTCTCTTCCAGTTATAAATCTGGTGAGACTCATGGAATTAATCTGAGCTCATTCAAATGTAAGATCAATAGGAAAGACATTTTATTGATATTAAACAAAAAATTACAATAGACTAAATCTTTGGATCAGAAGAGGTAATAATAGAGTTATACCATGTATGTCACCTTAAATCAAGATATTCAAATGTTCGCTTCCATTCAGGGTAAGATAAAGCTGTGTCATGGGTGATTTTTAATGCACTATTTTAAAAAGGAGAAGAAGAAGCTGCTGCTGGTAAAAGGAATAAGCAATTTTGGGCATTTATAACCAATTTTACCTTTAAATGTAAATCATCAAGTTTATTTGATTTTCAAAACATAGAAAGTGGTCCCAATACAGGCCATTCCTTTATTTTTCTGAGTGTAATAACACACACTATGTAGTACAGTAGAAGAGACAATAGTCATCAACTTTTAGGGCTAAACTTAGACTGTTGGGGCTGGAAGAGTCTAGCTCTGGTAGTCTAAGATTGTAACCATCTGCACTATTACAAACCTTTCTAATAGTGGCCCTGCTGTGGGATCATGAGACAAACTGCAAATTCAAAATAAGTGATTAGCCTGGTTTATAAATTCTGAATGTAACTACCAAAGTTGCTTTGAGATTCATTCTCTCATCCCAAACCTTTGATGGCATACCCCTCTTTTGAGATGCCCCAGTTTCTTATATATGCTTCTCTTCTCTGCAAGGGCTAATATATATAGAACTCTCTTTCTGTGTGTGTGTGTGTGTGTGTGTGTGTGTGTATATATATATATATATATAAAACTTTAAGTGTGTTCCTCATGGTTTTTGGCCAGAAGGCCCCATAGTTTCTAAATCATAAAACTACTATAAAAATTAAATAAGCTTATGTACCTGGCACAAAGTGATTTTTAATAATATGAGCTATTGCTGCTGGATTGTTATCAATTTATTATCTCTGAAATCCAAATCTACCCTCATTGCCTTGATTTGTGATTCTGGAGCTGGAGCCAGTATCATTTCTCTTTGGTAGCTGGCAGAATGGCATGTCTGAGAGACAGCCACCCAGCTGTGTTCCCCTTCTGCACACCCTCAGCCATAGCAAGAGATTTCCAGTATCTCAGACTCATGCTGTCCTAACCCGCAACAGAAGATTTTGTGCTCACCAGTCCATGCTTATGGTTTCCTGCACTCTAGCCTCACCACAAAGTCTATGGACCATGCCTAGGCTAAGGCAATCCAGCCAGTTGCACTGTCCTGTTGTCTGAAACTCAGCACCAGAGAGGAGATTCCCTCCCAAGTCAGCCCCTTCCTTTGCACTGTCTCTCAGTCCTGAGAATTCTCATGTATTCCTTCTTTCTGGTGTGCTAGAAGTCTCCTGCAGGAATGTTGGAAAATCAGCTGGAAGCTGATGTTGCTGGTCGCTGGCATACATGCTATTGTACCAACTACCGAAGAGACATATTACCAGGTAATAATTATTCATATTGAAATCTCCATGTTTACATTCCCAGTGTGCTTTCTGTCTCCTGACTGACTGTGAATAGTATAACTACTTGAAATAGAGGTTTTTCAAATGGAAACTTATTGCTATGGCTTTGCCTCTAGACTTAATATCTCTTACTTGTTCTGCCCCTTGATTTCCGACCAATTAGACCTCAACATTTAACCTCACACCTAACTGGGCTATCTTTAGTTTTAATCCCTCACTGTTTCCTAATTTCTGATTTATTTGCCAACACTTTGATTTGGATCAGCCATTTGCCTTCAAGCCTGGATGGGGGAATTTCTGTAAAAATGTCAAGCCTGTGACTCCTGTCTCAAGAATTGATGCTTGTATTTTAATAATATCAAGGTATTGACAACTTTGTTTCTTCCCTTTACTTGTCTGCACTAATCTCATTTTTCTACCTAATAAAGAGTCTTGGTAATGCTAATAATAGTATTAATAAAAATAATAATTACAACAGTAGTAATATTTATTGTGTCTTTACCTTTATGCCAGGCACTGTGCTATGTATGTTTTACTTAATTCCCGCAATAGTACTAATAAGTAGATACTGTTCTATATTTATTTTATAGAACGAGAAAATGAGGTTTAGAGAATTTAGAAACCTGGCTATAATCAAGCAGCTAACAAAGTGGCAGGTCTAACTGTTTCAAATCTGTGCCATAAGCCCATGTGAACTATTCTTCAAAAATAAATAAATGCCCTGAAGTCTCCACTCATGGGTAATTATTCAAAATTAAACTATTATCATTTAGCTTATGCTATTCCAACAGAAATTACTATTTCATTTCTCTATAATTTTAAAAATTATTTTCATTGAATCTTTCATAGCTACCCAATTTAGCCATCCATCATGGTATTTAAATGAATGTCAGTGTTTGAATATTACTGTTAAAGTGATGTTTGATTCTGTAATTATTACAAAGATGATCAAAATTATTCAAATGTATGTGAAACTGATTGGTTTGACTTATGTAATGTCAATGAGTGCAAACGTCTTGCTCTGATGACCCCAACTACTAAATTTAGATGACAGATCACTGACTACATTTTTGGTTCAATTTAATTAATTAAGCTCGACTCTATTCTTTAAAAGTATGATTTATTCTTTGAAATACAGTTCATAAGCTCATTCCTAGAATATATTTAATCAATTTAAAATTAACTGTTGCTGTTTGGGTAGAACAAATGAATAAATCATTTAAAAATGTAATTATACAGGGCTAACATATAATTGAGAGGAATTGTGAGGCTAGTAACCAGTAAATAGACTATAAATGAAATTAATTAGTTTTTATTCTACAAAGCATGCAGTTTAATTTCTATTACACCAGGTAACACTACAAGGCTGTTTACTCTCCTTCATAAGCCTGGTTTAGAATAAATTAATATTCATGTATAATTTAGAAAAAGCCATGAGATGTGATAAAAAGAGGGTCACAAAAAGTAGCATAGTCCTCATCAGTTTTAGATAGTCAGATATTTACATCAATGTTTGCAAATACAAAATGAGGTGGGTGTTACAGGCTTGTGACGAATGTCAAAGGAAATTATGTGCACATGTGCTGAAAATATAAAGTGTGATAGAAATACAAATGGAAGATGATAACATGCCTGTTCTAGAGCTCCAGTCTACTTCACTTTTTTCTGCTCCCTCTGTCTTACATTTATCAATTGTTTATTGCTGGATTCAGTTTTTCTCAACATATCCAATTTTAATATATTTTAAAATCTTTAGACCTCTCTATTTTTTTTCAAATAGGCAGTAGAAACATATCCTCTTACTTTCACAGAATTAGTGCATAAGGGAGGGTGTTAACACAGAAACACTCTACAAATCCTCCGTATGGGTCCTCCATATGGAGATAGAGCCAAGCTTTGCTTTAGCTCATTCCCCCAACATTTCATTTTATTTTCACTTTAAATCACTCCAAAATATTTTATAGTTTCCTTTGAGATTTCTTGGTTGAATTACTATGGATAATTTGAACTATTTGAAAGTTTGTTGTTTAACTTCCAAATCATTAGTAGATTTTCTAGTTCTCTTTTTGTTATTTATTCTCAGTTAATTTTCATTATTTTCCAGGAATATATATACTAAAATTTCTATTATTTCATTCTTTTTTTTTTTTTTTTGAGACAGGATCTTGCTTTGTCACCCAGCCTGGAGTGCTGCAATGGTCAGTGGTACAATCACAGCTCACTGAAGCCTTGACCTCCCGGGCTCAATCAATTCTCTCACCTCAGCCTCCCGAGTAGCTGGGACTACAGGTGCACACCACCATACCTGGCTAATTTTTTGTATTTTTTGTAGAGATGGGATTTCACCATGCTGCCCAGGCTTCTATTATTTTGAATCTGTGAAGGTTTGTTTTATGATCCAGGATATGTCTAACTAGATACATGTTTCATGAGAACTGGAAAAGTATGTGCATCCTGCTGTTGCTGTGTGGTGTGTTCCCATTGATCGATTCAGTCTTTTAGTTGAAGTTGCTTAGATTTTCTCTGTCCTTGCTGATTTTCTTTCTGCTTATTTTATTACTGAATGGGATGTTGTTCATTTCTCCTTCCTTTTCCGACAGTTTTTACTTCACACATGTTAAAGCTCTGTTATGAAGCACATACTCATGTAGGTGTATCATAGCTTCCTGGTGAATTATTGCTTTTGTAATATTTAATGTCCCTCTTTATCTGATTATTTTTCCTCTTCTGAAGTCTACTTTGTCTGATATTACCATACCAATACAACCTTCTTTAGTGTTTGCATGGTAGATTTTCCTCTTATCCTTTTGTTTTTCTTAATCTGCCATTGATCCTAGTTAGGATCAAGTTGCCAGTCTGACTCACTTTCTATAGTCCCGATGTCAGTTCAGCCTTAAAGACTTTGCAGGGATATCCAAATTGGCTCTATTTGTGCTCCTTTGGGGAGCCCAGTTTGCTTCCTCGTTGTTAGTCTACATCATGGCTCCTTTGTCAGTCAATTTGGTGTGCTGTTTCCGATCAATCCTATGCATCTGTAGCTCTAGGCTGGGCCCAGGACTTCAGACACAGCTTTGTAGGACCCCTCTCTTGAGATCCCCAGTCCTTGTCATTTCCTTCACTCTCCAGTACACAGGCGCTTTTTCTCTAGATTCCGGGTAGAAAACTATGGACATCTGCTGTGTAATTCCCAAATATTTAGAAGACTTCCTAGTCATTTTTCTGTTGTTGATTTCTAGTTAACTTTTATTATTTCTAAACTATATATATATATCTATATATATATCTATATATATCTGCTACTGTACCCTTGTGCTGTCACATACTTTTAAACTGGATCTACCTCTGGGGCAAAGCAGCAAGAGGAAAGAGGGAAGTAGCATGTGGCAGAGATTCCCCCCAACACTGTTCCCATTACAGGGGAAGTTTGTTCTTGTTACTGTTGTCAGGGAGGTGGCTTTTTCTCTCGGAGTTTTAGGTGTCTGAACAGCAGTTGCTGTCACTGCCTCCTCTGAAGGGTACTTTTGGGACTGAGACTTACCTAGGGGCTGAGCTGGGAAAAAATAAAAACAACACACACACAGACAAACAAGAAGAGAAAGTATTGCTCTCTCTAACTCCATTCTGTAAGGGAGCCAATCCTTGAATCAGTAACAGTGGGTTTCTCTTGGACTTTTCCTGTTCTGCCTGTTGCACAGTTCATGGATTCAGGCTCTCCTGAGTCTAATTCAAGACATATTGGAGGAAAAATCTCACACAGCAATATGCACACACACACAGCAATATGCTCGCGCACGCGCGCGCGCACACACACACACACACACAATGGATCACCCTGAGAGGATTTTTTTAATGATTTCCATTCAGGGCTCTTAGTTGTAATCAGAAGGAAAGATAAAGTGAAGTATCCATATTCCATCTTAACAAAAACCACACCACTCTTCCATATTCTAGACATTGCAGGTTTTAAGTCTAAGTGCTTGCAATCCTTTACTGTTCACCTGACAATTTTTCCTGGAAACTGTGTTTACAGAAATGCCTCTCCCCTGTTCACCTTAACTGTATCCTAAAGAAATGAGGATTTGCCGTGCAGCAAAGAGCAGGAACATTTTAATGAGCCGGGGTCTTAGGGGCCGGTGTTTACACTGGCTCAGATCTGCCATGAAATGTCAGCCTGTAGACGCTGCACTTTCAATGCACTGGGCGTGGCCGCGGAGGGAAGGGATCAGAAGAACCCTTCCTCTTCCACAGTCCGACAACATAAACTAGGTAAAGAAACTGGTGTTTTACCTTAGAGAGTTTTGAGTGGAAAAATTTACCTGCTTTAACTTCGGCATCAGTGAGAAGTGGTTTCTGTTTATTTTGTTTTTTGTTTTGTTTTTTTCTTTTCCCCTTCTTGATTCTAACCAAGTATCCAAAGTTTTCCGTCGTCTCCAGTGCAAATATTTCCTACAGGCAACTAACAAGGAGGCAAAGCTATCTAGAAGAGTTTTTCAGTTTCCAAGATTCCTTGCCCCATCTTCAACTTAATCTTATATTCCATTTTAATATGACTACAGTCTATTTGTATGCCTGTCACCCAGTCAATGGAATCTAATCATGGTGGAGATCCTGTGTTGCCTTCAAGCTCATTGGAGACCTCCTTCTTCTTGTCAAGGAGATGCACCATCACTGTCAATTTAGGGATATAATCAGCCAGACTTTGATTTAAATCGTAACTCTGCTGAACTTCAGTATGCCACTTAAGCTCTTTGAACTTTCATTTCCACATCTGTTGAAAGAAAATAGTATTTTCTATATCACTGAGTTTGGTAGATTCAATGAAAAATATACATGAAAGCATGTAACACACATAAGTGGGTACTAATGGCTTCTCAAAGAAAGACAATTTCCCTTCTGTTTATAATTCTGCATTTCAGTCAGAATTTCCCAGAGTGCTCTGCAGAACTTCTACGCTATAAAAAGAAGATGAGTATGGTCCA